TATATATATATATATATATATATATATATATATATATATATATATGTATATCTGTTGATATCTTAAAACTAACAGTTAATTCGTACATAGACATTTAGCTATCGCTCTTTGACGATAAAATTTTACATAAAACATAACTATCGACAAAGCTCGAGAATACGCGTTCAATCCAATCCTTGAGATTTATCTGTACGACTCAATGTAATGAATGATAATTCTTATATAATAGCCTGTCTTAGTAGGAAAAGAAGCGATGAAGTCACACGAATCTGCTTTCGGATCGAGAAGAGACAGCAAAGGGGATCAAAATCCCTAAATTCGACTTCTGCTGTGCTCCGCAAGATCCAATCTTACTCTCTTAACGTCTATGCGACTTTAGCGTTTACGAGCGCCTCGCTAGATACGTGTTTTATGCGCGACACGGATAGAGCCGCGAGCAGCAGACAGGTACAAGGACGAGTTTATCTCTCGCGCGCGACCGAATCGCGGGATCGCTTTATTTGCCCTTCCACGCCCATTTGAACATCAATTTGAAGCCAGGCTGACACGCTGGCGATCGGGGGGGAGCCCCCGCGATTAACGTCGCGCCGAGCATCGTTGAGTACCCTTCGCTCCCGACTGTCGCATCACCGCGCGGTCCGACGTGCTTGTAAAAAAATTAAAAAAAAAATCTCGAGGACGCGATTCCGCTCATCGCGTACGCGCGACAATACGTTACGTGACGCGCGGACGCCAAGTTTTACGTTCGATTCCGCTGCTCGGCGCGTTCAATGGACGCGCCGGGAAATTGGGTCACCGACAGATAGATCGTCTTGATAAATGAACAAAATCGCGCTGGCGGCAGGAAGGGCGGGAGGGAGAGACGGATGACTAGATAGCGGAGGAAGGGACGGCAAGGAGGAATTTCGATACCATGGCGGAAATTAAAGTTGGCCGACGGCAAAAATCCGCCGATTGAGACACATTTCGATCGGCGACGCCCCGCTCGAGATATCGCCACAGGAGGTATCAAACCCGCAGAGGAAAATTAGGTGAAGGGGGAGAGGGCTATGACTTCGATGAGATAAGAAACACGTTCGCCAGCGATGGCGATGATGACAACGGCAGCGGCGGCAATCGATGCCGGCAGGATCCCGTAAGCTCCGACGGCGCCGCCGTCGTCGTCGTCGTCGTCATCGTCGCGACGCGACCCCGCGACACGAACCCTACGCGAACAGGACGCGATCGTTATCGGCTCACCGTCGCGACGCACCGGCACCGATCGCCCACGAGGTACACTATACGGCATCCTACTATGTATTCACGCGGAGAGAAAGAGATGTAACGTGAGAGAGAGAAAGACAGAGAGAAGCCGAGGCGGCGCACGCCATTTTTATCCCGACACCGATATCCACCCGTCACCGAGCCGAGGCGGCGACTCGAAGCCGCCGTTCTGTCCGCGTTTCCGCCGGGACGCTGGGGCGTGCGGCCGCGGCTTCGCGCAATGTCGGGTTTACTTACCCTCGCGTAAGGACACCCCGCGGCACCGGCTCGCCTCGCAACTCGCATAAAAGTCCCCGGCCCGGTACACCAAAATACCACCAAATAACGATCCAACACCAATCCACCCGTCCACACACTCGACCGGCGCGCAACCGACTGAGCGGCGCGCCGCGCGCACCTACGCCGCCGCAGCTAGTCCCTGCGCGCAGAAAGCGCCGCTTCGTCGCCCGCGCGCGGACCGCTTGACGCGGAAAATTGGAAAAAAATACTTGATGTGGAACGAGAAATATGTTCGTGCGCGGGCGCGGTTTCATTCGAATCCGCGCTCGAATGTCGCCCGAAAAATCGGTTCCGTGACGAGCGCGGGGATTTATGGGAAATCGGTACAGTATGCAGCAGTATCAAACAAGCGTCTATCTGTTTCTCATATGTATTTGCAGTTTATATTACGATAAAATAGATTTACAGAGATCGAAAGTCTTAACTATAGAGAAGACTTTTCGAAACAAATTTGTTTTAAAAAAACTTTTTCCTCGAGAATGTATTCTTTTTTTATGTACATACCTTCAAATACTCGATTCTGTAAAATCATCGCTAGTCGATATAATTTATATATCATTGGCACTACATTATGATACCAAGGATGTGAGATACTCACCTATATAAGCCATTCAAATAATGCATCATTAAATATATATTTGAACAATGAAGAATATTTGTTTTTAAGAGAAATAAACAAGATACAACGTTTAATTCCAAATTTTGCAAATGTGGAAACAAAGCTGTTTGTACTTGTAATCTTTTTATGACATATATAATTATATATAATTAAAAATATATAAACAAGATTGATGTACGCGAAACTTTTCATTGAACTAAATAAGATGGATGAACTCCAAGATGCGATGAGATACTTCTCCGGATGATTTGTAAATATTCTCATTTACTGTACCTGTTTCTCGGTGCCGTCTTACGCCGGCCGGCGTAGGAATACAAGATCGCTTATGACATCATCAGACCGTATTCTGGACCGCGGTCACGCCCCATCCTCCGTATTGCATTTGTTCGAACTCTAACTCTTTCTTGCATTATTAAGCACATGTATATTACGTTTGCTGTATATCGTCCGCGTCACCCATGCGAAAAAAAAGAGGATTCGTAATTACCCTCGCGAGAAAAATCACAATAATTTTCAACTTGGCAAACTTTAATTTCGTATATCACGCAGGCAACTATGCAACCAATCGCGTCTTGGTACTGACATATTCGCAAAATTCAAATCACCGAAAAACACGATTGTATTCTTGGAATTTTTTTTATTTATTTATCTATTTGTAACATCTTTTGTGACATCTTACTATTGTAATTGTTCAATCACAATAATTTTGTAAAAATATGTCGATAAAATACTTACGTGTTTTGTATAATCGATATTTTTTTCACTTTTTTTTCTTGTAATTATAATGAATATAATGAATATAGCATACAGAAAAGAAATCGTAATAATTGACTTAAGAAATTTGTTATGAAAAGTAGTTTCATTAATAATTTTTAATTTTAAGTTTAATAATTCATGAGTTTTGCGTAACAATATATATATATATATATATTGGAATTTCATATGCGAAATTCACGTTATATAAAATGCATATATTTGATATATACAATCTTAGACTTATATATTATAAGACTTGACTTATATATAATTTTGCGACTCCTTTATCTCTTGCGATCTTTATCACTTGCGATCTTGACAAGAGTAATGCACTATATCGCCATTCGGATATCTCGCAAAAGCACTAATCGAAAAGAAGATTAATATCATAAATAATTTATGAAAACTAGTTTACATGATAAAATATCGCATTATCGAAACTTATATGTACGAACCTTTGGTTACCGAATCGCTTTTTACAAACTGGACATATGTTAAATTCTGTCATGAGGACACTCTGTGATTCGTAATGCATCCGTTGTTCCTGCACTTGTAAATGTTCCGCGTAAAGCAACCCTTTGAGAACCTGCGTTCTCCGTTTTGCATTCAAGTTATTCTGTAAACTGACTTCCAGAAAGTGTTTTATCCTACCAATAGGAACGGAATCCGGTAGAACCTCCAGAACTTTCATAGGATTTATCTTTGAAGCGTGTTCCTCTAGCAGTCGAAGGGCCATCTCTAAATCTGGCTGTGTTGTTCTTTGAATTTCCGGATTACAACCTTAAAAAAGTAAAATATGAAAAATATATGGTATGTATGTATGTATATATATATATATATATATATATATATAATATATATATATATAAGAAATTAAAATGAGAAATCCAAATAAAACATAAATAAAAAATTATAGTATTGCATTAAACAAGTTGCATATACATTAGATATATTATTGATGTCAATATTCACCAGCCATTAAAATTCCATCATTATTAGGTTTTAATAATTGCTGAATCAGTAAAACATACACCTCGTCGGCATTATTTATTTGTTTTTGCCTCTCCGTACGATCGTTACCTTAAAACAATGCCCAAATAATACTTATACTATATTATTTGTACTAATTAATATCCGGTTAATTAAACATAATTATTTTAGGAGTCACTTACTTTGATATTTTGTATATACATTTTGACAATACTGTATTGCACGTGGTATATCATTTAAAAGACTAACATATATCGAGATAGCTTGCTGATGACGACCGAGTCGTCCGAGTATAATCGCGCGTTCTTCAAATAAACTGTCAAATGGAAAATGCACTAATATCGTTTCCGGCGTATAATACGCCGATTTTTCTAGAAACTGTTGCAATTTTTGTCGAATATGTTGCAAGATCTCTTTCTCCGCTGGCGATGCATTTGCATTCATGGCGGCTAAACACTTTTCTTTGTACTGATGTATCAAGACATTATGAAACAGTGGGTTGGTATCTTCCCAAACGTGTACTACGTGTTCCAAATACTGTATTACTAAGTCTTTATGGAAACATAGGAGATAATCCAATATCTTTGGTCTAGGTAAATTTTCAACTTCCTGCAAATGCAACAAAATGCATAAATAAAAAAAACAATAAATATGGAAACCATGAAACAGTGATAACCATGAGGCAGAACCTGTATATCTTCCATAAATATTCTAAGGCCTTGCTCAGGATCCTCAGTTAAAACCCATCCAGCAAACTTCAGTATTAAATCCATGTGATCCTTACCAAGATGTTGCAAATACTGTATAGTTCTCTCAATACCTTTTAGACTAGAATCGTTTTCCTTCGCATGCTTCTCCAATAACTCTAATGCTTTTTTGTGTTGTCCTTTGGTTTGATACAATATAATGAGCTCTGGATATTTCTGATGCATCAATAAAGTTTTCTCAGCTTCTGCCAAGTGACAGTGATTTAATCTAAGTAAAGGCGCCACCAAAGCATCAGTGGTCTAAAACAAAATTCAATTTTTTTCTATATAAATCGTAAAAAAACTTTTCACACATTTATATTTTTTTATCTTTCTCTTTTTTTACCTGCAGATAGCACTTCAAAAGAGTAGTATCTATAATTTTTAAAAGCTGTTCGGTAGCAACCGCGGTTAAATTTTTTCTCCATTTACTCCGTTTTTCTCCTTGCTAAGTTCTTTATCTTTTGCCATTAACTTATGCCTGACCTCAGTTAAGAAAACTATCAATGCACGTAAACCCTTTTCTAAGTCGTGATCTTGCAACTTTGGCAAATTAGGTGCTGATTCACTAAGTTCATGAGTACTAGTCGAAGGCGTAACTAAATCTGGAAACAATCTAATCACTTCATATGGATCGGTTCCCAGTTTTAAGAACAAATCCATAGCCTCTTGAAATCGCTTATTGTAAAACAGATGATGTGCGTACAATGTCTGTATTTTATACGTTTGTTTGGCTTTCTCCTCATCTGTTATAGCTGATAAGCTCTAAAAAAATATACACAATGCATAAGATATGCATTGAAATATAAAAATATTAATATATTTCAACAAAATTATAATTTACAGTGACATTATAAATACAATTAACATACGGTTAATTTAAGCGCCAACTGAAACTGATTTTGCTCCAATAAAGTTCTAATTTGCAAAGTAACGTCAACTGCCTTGACACACCAAATCTGGCTAATGGATGCTACAAAGACTCTCCCTTGTTTACATCGATATATAAGTCTAGCTTTATTTAGATCTTTTATTGTCTGAATATGAAGACATCCTTCTAAGGTATACACTTCCAATCTGTCATGCACTATACCAAGTAAATAAGGATCATCCCACGCTGAAATGTATTACAGAAAAACTTGATTAATTATAAATGGAAAATGATAACAGTCTATTCATTATACCTATTGCATTAGGTGTATCTGACCACTTTAATGGGTTATGTTGAACCAATTCTCCTTTTGTATCCATGACGACCGACTGAGAATCTTTGCCTAGGACGAAAGAATTGTCTGATAATTTTGTAATACTGGGTTCTGGAGATTTTCCAGTAGGGAAGAGTTCCTTAGGTTTGCCATTTAGATCAAAAATAGTATAAGATAATCCCCGAAATCCTAATATTAACGTTTCGCCACACCTTGATAATACAAATTGATCAATAAAACCATACTCCAGGCATTTTTGTAATTTTTGAATGTTATATATTACCATGATAATTGACGAGGTATGTCTGGCACAGTTATTTCAAAATCTTTAAATTCCTCGAACTTCTTTCCCTTCCAATAATACAGTTGCAATTTACGTTTAACAGCGACACACAAACGTACCACTGTGTTCTTTTCTCCTGTCAGGCTCTGAGTCGACTGAATATCCAGGGTAAACAGAGTAGCACCACGAGTCTTTGGTAATTGACATATTTGTTGAAAATTTGGTGAATTTAAATCATGAATGCATACAATATTATCTGTAATTATTCTAGAATTAAATTGAGAAGTAGAAATATTATTTAATAAATTAGCTCGTTGCAATTAAAATGTTACCTGTTAGGATAATAAGTAAATTGTATTCTGGCACAACATCTATCTGATTGATTCGTTTCTTGTTAAAGTTCTTGCTGTGTCGTAATAATTCCAATTTGTGACTGTCATCGAATATCGATGGGACATTGTACATAAGAAGATGACCTTCCCTGGTACCTATCAATAAGTTGTCATCTGAAACAATTAATACAAAAAAGAATAAACATCTGATCTAATTGATAGGAATCATTGATAATCTCATTACATGATTAGGGAAGGGTCATCCCTTACCATAAGCAGCCATAGATTCAATCTGCACAGTGATATTTAATATAGACGTTTCCTCGTAAGCGTCGTGCATCGTTGCGATTTTAAAAAAAAGTAGCAAATAAATTTCTCAAACTATCAATAGCTCACTGGTCGACAACGCATTCGAGTGCATCTTACTGCATTCTCTCAAACATGCTTCAATATTCATCGCGCCAATGACAGTTGGCTCGTGGCTATGAACGGATTTTAATAATTTTGAGTGTTTGCCTTAAGCTTTATATCCACGATGCTAGGCTACGGTCCGATTCATACTCAAAGCGCTATTGACATTCTATCTTTGTTGTTCATTTAGATGTAAAACAAGTATAGAATGATGCTAATAGCTTTGAATGTGAATCGGATCACGGCTATAAAAATCAGTCCGAGATTTCAGGCTAAGAAAGAATTGACCAATCATATTGATTAATTAATCAAAATATTCAAATACAATTGGTCAATTTTCTCTTCGTTCGAAATCTCAATTTTAAAGTGTTCATTTTCGAGGAAAATTTTTCATTAATTATTCCAAAATTTTACAAATGTTTTTGATTGATCTCAAAGATCTATCAAATAAAATTTTCGTAAAGATTTTAGAAAGTAATCCTAAAGATAGTAAGTAGCGAGATCTAACGTTTATTATTGTAATCTTCATGTCACATATATATCGGCGAATGTGTTGAACATCATATGTATGCGTGAAAATTTTTATTTTTCTTTTTTTTTCATTGTATTACGTCAACTGCTTATCTGCACAATTTTACTTAATTATTGTAACTGAAAATTATCGTCGTATCAGATGTTGAGTGCGAATGTGATAAAAGATATAAAACATTGACTATATAAGCATCTGTTAAAAAGATTTGGTGTCATTTGAACTCGAAGAAGGTGAAATCTCTTAGATAAAGCGAATCTTTTTTGTATTGACGAAATGACAAGACGGATAGCTGTGGTACGTAATTCTGCAAAGATTCTGAAATGAGAAATCTTCATATTTTCACTGTCAAGTATTTTTTCCAAAAACATTGATACAATAAACTTAATTTTTTTAAGTTGCACTTATATTTTCTGTACTTAAAAAGAAATAATATATAACTTGACATTGAAAGATGAAAAAGAAAAAGTTCAGCCTCAGGAAACAAGTTTTTGTTATTTATAGTTGAGATCTATTTTTAGCCTTTTTTTCCTTTCCTTATTCCTTAGGATCTATTCACATATTTGTGTCATTTTGAGTAAAAAATATAGCACAGCAGTTATAAAAAAGAAAAACATTTTAATTGATATACTGTCATTCAGGTTACTGGTGGAAACAAGGGAATTGGCTTTGCTATTGTCAAATTGCTGTGTCAACAATTCAATGGGGATGTTTATTTAACAGCTCGTGACACTACTCGTGGTTTGAGTGCTATTAAAGAATTGGAAAAGCAAGGCTTTAAACCAAAATTCCATCAGTTGGATATCAGTGATGATGACAGTGTCACAAGGTTCCGAGATTACTTGCAGAATATACATGGTGGTTTGGATGTACTGGTTAACAATGCTGGCATAGCATTTAAAGTAATTAAGAACTTTATATTCAATAAGTATATTTGTAATTTTTTATTCTTGAAATGAAATTTCCAAGAATAATATTTGAACAGAAGTATATTCCTTTCATATTTAATTTATATTGTAAAGATATTTAGCATGTAATATTAGCATAAAAATAAATCTTGTTACAGATGGATGCTGCAGAGTCTTTTGCGGTCCAAGCAGAGGAAACAATTAGAGTAAACTACTTTGGCTTACGTAGAGTGTGTGCTACTCTCTATCCATTACTCAGACCACATGCTCGAGTGGTTTTTATGTCCAGTAGCGCTGGACGTCTGTCTAACATTACTGGCAAGGCATTAAAACAGAAATTGGCCAATCCAAAGCTGACTGAAGCAGAATTAGATAAAATTATGCGTGACTTTGTCAAGTAAGCCTTTTAATTTGTTAGAAAAAAAAATTACATACAATTTAGAAGATTTTTTAAAGATTTATACATGTTTATTTCCAGGACTGCAAAATCTGGCATGCATGTACAAACTGGATGGTCAAATTCTGCATATGTAGCAAGCAAAATCGCCATCTCTGCTTTAGCTGGTATTCATCAAAACATGTTTAATGCAGATCCCCGAGAAGACATCGCAGTAAATGCAGTACATCCTGGTTATGTTGATACTGAAATGACAAGCCATAAGGGAACTTTAACACCAGAGCAAGGAGCCGCAGTCCCAGTTTTTTGCGCTCTGTTGCCAGAGAATACGGAAATAAAAGGAAAATATATCTGGTCTGATAAAACAGTATCGGACTGGAAGTAATAATATATAGCAGGACCTGACCCCTTTTACTAACATTCCTATAATGCATGACAGATCATACAAATGGTAATAAAGGTTTGTTGAGTGACACTATTTTTTTATCATATTAAAATTATTAAAATTACACTTTTACTTACATTTATAATACTACATTTATAATATATTTATAGTCAATAAAGAACAAGAATAGAGTTCATGAAACAAGTATAAAATAACTATTTTCTTACAAATATTTATTTTAAAATGATCAAATAAAACTATATACTGAATACATTGTAATTCACATTTTCAAAAAATAATTATGTGAATAATGCAAAACAATTCCATATATTATTATTTCTATATCAAATGTGAAATGTATATAATGAACAGAAGAAGAAATGGATTCTTTATATTTAAGTATTACTTAGTTAGTATTACTTAAGTATTATTTAATAAAACTACAAGTTATCTTGCTTGAGCATTCATTGCTTCTCTACGTGCTGCTTCAGTTAATAGATGAATGTCTACTTCATCCACTGGAAGTTGTACATATCTTACCACAGATCCACGAATAAAGCAATTTTTTACCGATAACTGCAATTTAATACATAATTTTTGTAATTATATTTTATTTTAATGGCTATATTATAATATATTCCTTAAATGTTGATTAAATTTCACATTAGTGTTACTGTTGATACGTACCATGTGTGGATATTTTTCTGAATCTGTTACACTAATATCAGCCAATTTAATGTTTAGATACTGATCTACAGAATATAATGTACCACAGATACTGAAATAAAATACAATGTTAAAAAAAAAATATTTTATAGATGCATATATCTCACCTGAGATCATTCTTCAATTCAACTACCACGTCCTTTCCGATTAAAGACTTGAAAAAGGAATAGAACAGCTGAAATTAAAAATATGTGTTTTGCCGAACTTAGAAAAAAAATCATAGAGAGATATTGCAAATCTCGCTATTAGTGTCATGACTTACCATAATTATAATTTGCAGGAGGTTATTCTAACTATATATTTAGTATTGTATATGCTAATTTACGATTATTTATAATGACAAGTGCGTTTCGAATCAATCTCAGCGGCAAAATTATAACCTATTACAAAGAATTACGAAGCATCGAATCCAACTGACGGATTGGCGGAAGTAATGCGTGGAATAAAAAATTTGTCGCGTTACTCGCGCTCCCTAATATGCACCTAGTATTTCGCACTTGTTTGCACCTGAAACGAGATAGATATCTGTAGATATACATATGTAAGCATTGGTAAAAGGAAAAACAAGAAACCCGAGTGTAAAAAGTGCAAACAATGTTGTTGTAAATACTAGATTTGTTCGCGTTGCTTGCATTCTCTAGAATTTTTAGTACTTAAAACAGAATAAAGATATATTTGCAGATGATAGAAAAAAAGAACAAAAAACTTAAGTGCAAACAGTAGAAGTAACGAACCTAATGAATGCACCTCTGGATACTGATCACGATCATAAGCTATATTTTGAATTCTTTTTTTCTCGACAAAAGTATCTCTCCAAAAATGGCTTACAATTAATCAGGCTTATAAGACACTTTTAAAGGCACTTTTATCAACAAAAAAGGATTCAGAATATGGGTCGAAGTGTTGCACCTTTTCTCCAAAAAACTGAGAAGTGCAAGTACAGGAAGTGCAAATATGAATAAACTTAATTTTAGAATAAAACTGAAATTATGCTGTTTATGTTTGAATGAAATAGATGCATAATTAAAGACATCAAAGAGAAAAAGATAAGAATGAAAATGAATGTAATTAAAATGAAAATAAAATTTCAAATTTGTTATTAGCCTTAATTGCCCATTAAGGCTTATTCACATAGACCTATTGCTGAATAATGTATATACATGAAAAAAATTGTTAATATCTATATAATATATAAGAACGATAAATGTAAATGTAATAAATAGAGCTAAATATAATAGAGCCTTTTAAAATATATGCGTATACTTTTAATGTATAATATGATCATAACTCTTATGAATGTGCCATGATTTATAAATTACTGCCAAGTACTGTCGTAATTGGACTTTGGTCTCCATCGTCACTGATTAAAAAGCGCTATTTTTTACAGTTTAACGTTAATAGATAAAAGAAAAGAACACAAATTTCTACAATAATGTTCTCTACTTGCGTCAAAACGTTACGGATTACTAGCAAAGTGAGCATACATTTTCGAATTTGCGAAGAATTTTTATCCTTCATTTGTTTCGCTATTTTCATCCATATGATTTATATGTATCTCTCTCTAATGATTGTGACCTTAAAGATTCATCCCATTTGCACTAATTGTATTTTTTATGCTTTACTTTTGCAATTACATAAAATTGTTTACTATTTTAATCTAATTTAATTAATTAACTGTATTATTGTAAATACAAATTTTTCAAAAATTTACAAAAAAATTATTAATTAAAAATTTTTTTCAGAATATAATTTAAGAATTTATATTATTTATGTTTTATTTATTTTCAGTTTGGCTCGTTGATACGCTACGAGTCCACTTTAGTTATCGCCGAACACAATAACGAAAAACTACTACCAATCACTTGCAATACATTGACAGCTGCCAAGAAAATTGGGGGTGATGTAACTGTATTGGTCGCCGGTACAAAATGTGAAACAGTTGCACAGAATGCATGTAAAGCCAAAGGAGTCTCTAAGGTCTTTCTCGCGGACAGTGATGCGTTTAAAGGATTTACTGCAGAATCATTGACCCCGCTTATACTTAAATTATATAACGAACATAAATTCACACATATATTAGCTGGTGCAAGTGCATTTGGAAAGGCATTGTTGCCTAGGGTTAGTTTATAGTTTATTTTTTCAAGAAATTATCAATCATCAATTGTTATGTATCTATTAATTTTATTATATAAATCTATTTAAGGTTGCAGCCAAATTAGATGTATCTCCAATAAGTGATATTATTGGCATAAAAAGTTCAGATACCTTTGTACGCACTATATATGCTGGTAATGCTATCCAGACTCTCAAATCTAAGGATACGCTAAAAGTGGTATCTGTAAGAAGTACTTCTTTCGAGCCGCTGCCTCTAGAAGGTGGTGATGCTAAATGTGAAAATGTTTCTGCTGGTGACATTTCGAATTTAGTGGAGTACATTAGACAAGAGCTCAGCAAATCCGATAGACCAGAATTGACTTCTGCCAAAGTTGTAATTTCTGGTGGACGTGGAATGAAATCTGGAGAGAATTTCAAATTGTTATATACATTGGCAGACAAGCTTAACGCAGCAGTAGGAGCATCTCGTGCTGCGGTTGATGCTGGTTTTGTATCAAATGATTTGCAAGTAGGACAAACTGGAAAAATTGTTGCACCTGTAAGTAGGAAATTAATTTAATAATCAAAACGACACGTGCATGAAACTCCATCTAGTTAATCCTTTTATTTCTTTTATCTTTCTTTATCTATCTTTATTTTCTTTTATCTTTATAATCGTTTCGAGTAAAACAATAATTTTATGATTAATATGATTTCAGAATCTATATATTGCAGTTGGAATTTCTGGAGCAATTCAACATCTTGCTGGTATGAAAGATTCTAAAACTATTGTGGCTATTAATAAAGATCCAGAAGCTCCCATTTTTCAAGTAGCAGATTATGGACTAGTTGCAGATTTATTTAAGGCTGTACCCGAACTCACAGAGAAATTGTAAATTATGAATAGCTCATTATAAACACATTATGTATAACAAATAATTATTTTTGTTACTATATTATAATACAAATATACAAATATAAATATACAAATAAAATTTTTATAGTTTTAAAAATTAATTATTATTTTTCTGTCATTTTGAATTACCTATCTATTTAATATTAATTTAATATTAATAATGCAATGAATTTATCTTCATCCTAAATGTTGAAAAAAGTAAATGAAATTATTTAATTATTTTCTACTTAGAATTGTGTTTATATAAAAATGGTACATTTCTTATCCGAATAAAAGAGTTTTATTTTAATGTAAGAAAACAAATAACATTTTATAAAATATTAAAATTTTATTTATAATTACATTTGAATAAGTGCTTATTTAATTATCTTTGATCTTTCAGTGTTTTAAAGAATTTGTAACATGAAGTGCATCACGATCTTCACTGTCGAGGTTAGACAGTTATTATATTAAAACGCCGCGACGCTGCTTTCTTTGCTCCGAGAGAGAACAAAATCAATTTATTTTTAAATGATCAAGTATAATCGATAACTAATTTGTACTGGATACATTTGTAAATTGAAAATTTATCTTACAAAGATACTTTATTCGCCGTAAGTACGAATTTACAATATGATTTTATTTAATAACGATTATTATAGGTTACGTTCTATAAATGTTTACGGAAAAGAACGTCATTCCATAAAGCATAATTATTTATTATTATATATAAATTTCTCTAATTAAAAAAAATCTTAGTAGAATTTGTTATATTTTTATATTATTAAGTAAATTATATATTGTAATTATTTTATCGATTATGATTTAGATAAATCAATATACAGTGAAATTTTATGTTTACAGAATATGCAGAGTATTCGTCAATGTGTTAGGCATTTAGTGTCATATAGCAAATCCATTGTAAATAGAGCGAATATATTGTCGACTGCAACAAATTTTGCACCAACCTGCAGTTTTCATATTTCTGCAATTTGTCACAAAGATCAAGTTCCAAAAAAGTTTTTAAACTATAATAAAACTGTATTTCCACCTCAAAAACCGGGTGAAGAAAGAAGACCTGCTGTAAAATACATTGTCTATATAATTTTTTGTTTTCAAGTCATCAATTATTTTAGTGATATTTTTCTTTTAGTATGTATGCCATATGAAAGCTAATATAAAGTACAGTCCAAAAAAGATGTGGTACATCGCAAGTTTTGTACGAGGAATGTCTGTGGATGAAGCTGTGAAACAATTGAGTTTTATACATAGGAAAGGTGCAGAGATTGCAAAGGAAGTTATATTGGAAGCTCAACGTATGGCTGTGGAAGAACACAATGTTGAATTTAAAAGTAATTTGTGGGTCGGTGAGTATACATATATCACTTAACATTTGAAATTTTTATTTTAATATTTATATATTTTCAGTTCTTTTAATAATTCAATAATGAAGACAAATATTTCTTACAGCGGAATCATTCAGTACTAAAGGTATCGTGATTAAGGGTTTACGGCGTCATGCTAGAGCACGCAAGGGAATCGTGCACTACAGATATTGCCATTACTTCGTACGCTTAGAGGAAGGATCACCACCTAAATATTACTTCCTGCCATATCCCAAGACTGGCGAGGAATTATTAGACGACTGGATGAAACAGATGCACTTACGCAAAGTACCAAACTCTTTGTAATTACAAATGTTATTATAATATACACTTGTAAATATACACTATATATGTATAGAGGGTACATTTTTTATTCTAATTTGATTTCATCACAAATGTAATTTTTAAGTCATATTATTAACATATATATATATATATATATATATGTTAATTAGTCCTAGTCATATGGATATTCAATGAAAAAAAAATAATTTAACAGATTTTAATTCTTATATAGAAATGGTACTTTTATTTCATCATCAAATAAGTAATTATATGATTTACAACTTTAGTTTGGTTCTTCTCCAGTGACGTCTTTTTGCATTGTATCTGAAAACAGATAATACATGAGAATAGCTTATGAATCATAAATATCTATATAACAACAATATTATATCTTGCAATATAATTATTATAATATTGTTGGGTTTTGTCAAAATTAATTATCAAGGATCAAAATAACATTTCTATAATAAAATTCTATCATAAAATAATTTCAAAAAAATATTGGTATTGTACTAAAATTGCTGCACTAAAATTGTAATAACAATGATC